CAGAAATAGTTTAGGAAAATCCCATTATGAAGCTAGAATTGCGCAATAACAGAAAGAAACGAAAACGAAAGAATGAAACAAGAGTTGCGCAATAATAGAAAGAAAGAAGAAGAAGAAAACACAGTCTTATGAGCTGCCAGGAATGGCAGATCATAACATCAATGTTAACAATTGCATTCAATAAAATCTATCCATTAACTGTTTACCTCTTGGTCAGTACAATGATTGATACACAAACACCAGATATGGTAATAATCGTTAAAATGACAAAGGATTTTAATAAAATTGATTCAGTTAGAATCAAGCAACTGCCAACACAATCATGCGCAGCACATCGTCTTGTACTGTTAAAAACTACAGCATTTGTGACGGAATTAAAAACATTGAAATTGGCTAGAATACCAAACACTTAGGATCGAATACCATCAAGGTATACAATTTTTCTCGTACGCTATACTGAACTTGTTATTTTTTAATACAAGTCTGTTTCACAAACTAAATTTACAATAAATCCTCTTCTATATCGGTCATGTACTAAATCCGAATCAATTTCTTCTCATGTGTACGAAATCAACCCATTAATCAGAAATAAATCTGGAGAGGTTTTCCTATGGAGTACCAGCATTAGAACCGATCCTTAGAAAACTTTCTAATGTTTTTGTTGAGATGAAGGTCATCAGAGGACACTTCTGGATGCGTCTCGATGAGCTCTATCCCACGGTGTGCAATTTAGCTTTGGACCAAGTCCTTGAATGAATCTGTGAAATGTTTACTGAAAAAGCGTAATTTTTCTTGTTATAAAAACCAGCTTTTTAAGTTTTTCTCATAAACCACTGTTTGTTTTGAGACAGGAAGTACAGAGTTTTGTAGAGCTTGTTGAGCTCTAATTAGAGCAAGTCATTTCCAGGTTGGACTAAGTTTAGAAATGAATCTGGGGCGAAAATATTCATATCTGGTGCTAACTTTACCTAGATAAAGTCATGCACATTGAAAAATATCTTTCTTACGTTGCAAAAAGGTATCGATGCAACTAAGAAAAGTAAGAAATTACTCTGTCGTGTCAGATGCAACAATTGTGATTCAGTATATATTGTCGCTATTGTCAATATGTAGGTACAACGCTGCAAGAACTACATCTTCGCTTCAGTGGACACACTGTTGCAACATAGGCGGCGGAACAGGAGTGCTGGGTGTGCTCGAGCACTCCCAACTTCTGAAAACTTAGCAGAAAACCCTTTTCCCAGCAGAGTCTCACCAAAAAATCATTTGAGCATCATTCTGCCGCCCCTGTCTTACAATACACCAGAGAAATACGAAGAACCGCTTACCGTCGTTCACTTCAACTTACCAGACCACTGTACCGAAGACCTCATCATCGCAACTATAGAAACCAACTTTATTAACGAGCAGCACCGATTAGATCGGGACTATTCTAGATAATGCACCTACAACGAGTATTAAATCGCTAAATCTAGACTACCAATACATTTAGTGACTAGTGAGTGTGCCGGACGTACATACATATAGTCATGTGGCAGTGTGACGGACGTATATACACGGAATTATTAATAAGTGCCACGGACATAGATCCACATGGGTAGATGCGTTCGGCAACAATTGAATGTTGTTGTACAGTTGTTAATGTTGGTGAGATGGCGTGAAGAAGAGAATGTGCAAACGGAAATTATTGCAGTAGAAGAAGCATAGTTAGAATGAAAATACTGAATTATATTTTGTACATAGCAAAACGTTCGATTTTCTATCGGGCTGAAAATAAGAGAAACAAAATACATATTCTGATTTGCAATTTCACGGGGATTCCGAATATGCTACCCGTTTTCTTGGACAACTCTTAGTTTTCGAGAAGGAAACAAAAAACTGTTTTTGCGTGGAAACTAGCGCTTTTTATTCTATTCTCCCATTTTTCTCCGTTCTGGATATACTCTTTTTTTTCTGATTTCTCTTATTTTCATGTTATTAGAATGAAGAGACAGAACGAAAAACAGAATATTCATGTATAGAACGCTGATTATATATAGACAGTTACATTTTAGTGTGAATGTTCATATTCTTCAATTCACAAATCACTCACTATGAATTTAATACACTATCTATCAACTTGATTGCTTTTCCCTAATACTTAAGCCGAACTAAAAGCAACCTTTTCCGATTTGTAGTGAGACGCAGACTATTCAACTTGGACATTAAGATAGACTG